TTCCCTTCCTCCCCAGATGCACCCTCCTTCCCTTCCTCCCCAAATGCAGCCTCCTTCACCTCCTCCCCAAATGCACTGTCCTTTCCCTCCTTCCCCTCCTCCGCAGATGCAGCCTCCGTCCCAGATGCAGCCTCTTCCCTCATCAAACCCCCCACAGAGGAGCCAGACACAGGCTTTCGCTTTCTTTATTCACCCACGACTGCATGTTTCTGTGTGACTGTCCTGTGGCAGCTGGGGATGGGGCGGCCCCCTGCAGCCTGCGGGAGGGTGTCCCTATCATGAGCACGCTGCCTGGGTTTCAGGGACCCACTCTGGTGGCCAGCATGGCATCCAGGATACCCCCCAAGTGTGCCACCTGCACCTGGCAGAAGCCGTGTTGCTCTAGCAAGCGCTGGTACTCGCCCGGGCTCCGCTCCCTGCCCCCCATCTGCACCAGCATGTTCAGCGACTGCAGCAGGGCGACCCGGGCCTCCCTCTTCTCTTCGTCCAGCAGTGTCTCCACCAGCAGCAGGCCGGCCCCTGAGGGGAGAGCAGAGAGCTGGAGTCTTGGCCAGCCAGGCAGGGATCCTTCAGGGGCCAGCAGGGCACACAGCGGGCAACTGGAGCTCAGAACAGTGAACAGAGGCTGCCGAGAAGCCCTGCCCAGGAGACCCACGCAAGTAGGGGAGGGGAGAGAGATGGAGACTCCATGCAGGGCGGAGAGACAGGGAGAAGATTAGATTGAGAGATGGCTGGCTGGCTGGCTGGCTGCATGGCCCGGGCCTGTTCCCGTTCTCCTGGATGGATGGATGAACAGATGGTAGAAAGATGCATGGATGATGGATGGCAGATGGATGGATGGATGCATGCATGGACGAGAAGGATGGATGGATAAATGGGACATGATGGGTGGGTAGGTTGACAGATGGATGGATGGATACATGGATGCAAGGATGAGAAGGATGGATGGATGAATAGATGCTGGGTGTGCATAGGCAGATGGATGGATGGATAGATGGATGCATGGAAGAAGAAGGATGGATGGATGGATGAATAGATAATGCACACGGAGATAAATGGATGGATACATGGAGGCATGGATGAGAAGGATGGATGAGTGAATACATGGTGAGTGATGGACAGGTGGATGGATGGATGGATGGATGGATGAGGACAGATGGGTGAGTGAACAGATGGCAGATAATATATAGGTAGATGGATGGATGGATAGATGGGTGCATGGGTGAGAAGGATGGATGGGTGAATAGATGTTAGATGATGGGTAGATGGATGGATGAGACAGATGGACGGATGGATACATGGATGCAAGGATGAGAAGGATGGATGGATGAATAGATGCTGGGTGTGCATAGGCAGATGGATGGGTAGTTAGATGGATGTATGGGTGAGAAGGATGGATGGGTAAATAGATGGTAGATAATGGATGGGTAGATGGATGGATGGATGGGTAGGTGGATGGATGGATGCATGGGTGAGAAGGATGGATGGGTGAACAGATGGTAGATTATGGATGGGTAGATGGGTGAGAAGGATGGATGGGTGAATAGATGGTAGATGATGGATAGGTAGATGGATGGATGAATGCATTGGGTGAGAAGGATGGGTTGATGGGTGGATGGATGGGTGAAATGGATGGATGGGTGAATAGATGATGGATGGGTAGATGGATGGATGATGGGTGGATGGATGGATGGATGGGTAGGTGGGTGGATGGATGGATGCATGGGTGAGAAGGATGGATGGGTGAATAGATGGTAGATGGTGGATGGGTAGGTGGATGGATGGATGCATGGGTGAGAAGGATGGATGGGTGAATAGATGGTAGGTGATGGATGGGTAGATGGATGGATGGATGGATGCATGGGTGAGAAGGATGGATGGGTGAATAGATGGTAGATGGTGGATGGGTAGGTGGATGGATGGATGCATGGGTGAGAAGGATGGATGGGTGAATAGATGGTAGATGATGGATGGGTAGGTGGATGGATGGATGCATGGGTGAGAAGGATGGATGGGTGAATAGATGGTAGATGATGGGTAGATGGATGGATGGATGCATGGGTGAGAAGGATGGATGGGTGAATGGATGGTAGATGATGGGTAGATGGATGGATGGATGCATGGGTGAGAAAGATGGATGAGTGTATAGATGATAGATGATGGATGGATGATGGGTGGATGGATGGATGAGATAGATAGATGGATGGGTAGGTAGATGGATGGATGGATGGATGCATGGGTGAGAAGGATGAATGGGTGAATAGATGGTAGGTGATGGATGGGTAGGTGGATGGATGGATGCATGTGTGAGAAGGATGTATGGGTGAATAGATGGTAGATGGTGGATGGGTAGATGGATGGATGGATGCATGGGTGAGAAGGATGGATGGGTGAGAAGGATGGATGGGTGAATAGATGGTAGATGGTGGATGGGTAGGTGGATGGATGGATGCATGGGTGAGAAGGATGGATAGTGAATAGATGGTAGGTGATGGATGGATGGATGGACGGATGGATAGATAATAAATGATGGACAGAAGACAGATAGGTGACAGATGATTGTTACAAGCCCAGACACAGTGGCTCACGCCTGCCATGCTAGCATTTTGGGAGGGTAAGGCGGGGGGATGGTTTGAGCCCAGGAGTTTGAAACCAACCTGAGCAACACAGTGAGAGAGACCCTGTCTCTATTGTATTTTTTTAAAGGAGGATGACAGATGATAGATGTATAAAGAGAGACACAGACGGGGTGGGGAGAGGGAGGAAGAGACAGAGAGACATAAGGCAGGAGCAGAGAAGGAGGAAAGAGGAGAAACAGAAAGATATTGATGATAGATGAGACACATAAAAAGACAGAGGAGAGAGAGGAAGAGGAAGAAAGACAGAAAGACAGGGTGCAGTGGGTCACATCTTTAACCCCGGCGCTTTGGGAGGCTGAGGCGGGAGGATCGCTTGAGCCCAGGAGTTTGAGAGCAGCCTGGGCAACATAGCAAGACCCCATCTCTACAAAAAAACAAAACATTTTTAAACTATCAGGGCATGGTGACATGTATGTGAACTCTCAGCTACTCGGGAGGCCGAGGTGGGAGGATTGCTTGAACTCCGGAGGTCAAGGCTGCAGTGACTTATGATGACAGATGGTCCTCCAGCCTGAGTGACAGAGTGAGACTCCAATCACCATAAAAAAAAATTTTTTTTTTTTTTTTTGAGACAGAGTCTCGCTGTGTCGCCCAGGCTGGTGTACAGTGGCGAGATCTCAGCTCACTGCGACCTCTGCTTCCGGGTTCAAGCCATTCTCCTGCCTCAGTCTCCATGGTATTACAGGCGGCCACCACCACACCCAGCTACTTTTTTATATTTTTAGTGAAGATGGGGTTTTACCGTGTTAGCTAGGATGGTGTCGATTTCCTGACCTGTAGGCGTGAGCCACTGCGCCCAGCCACAGAAAACCTTTTTTTTGAGACCAAGTCTTGCTCTTGTCATCCTGGCTGGGGTGCAGTGGTGCGACCTCGGCTCACTGCAACCTCCATCTCCCGGGTTCAAATGATTCTCCTGCCTCAGCCTCTGGAGTAGCTGGGACTACAGGCGCCCAACACCATGTACAACTACTTTTTTTTTTTTTTTTTTTTTTTTTGTATTTTTAGTAGAGACAGGATTTCACCATGTTGGCCAGGCTGGTCTCAAACTCCTGACCACAGGTGACTTACCCCACTTTGTCCTCCCAAAGTGCTGGGATTACTGGTGTGAACCACCATGCCCAGCCACAAAAAAAAAGTTTTAAAAAATTGGCTGGGCATGGTGACGCATGTGTGTAGTTAGTCCCAGCTACTCGGGAGGCTAAGATGGGGGGATGGCTTCAGCCCCGAGGGCAAGGCTGCCGTGAGCTGTGACTGTGCCACTGCATACCAGCCTGGGTCTCCGAGTAAGAACTTGTCACAAAAAAATACGTGAGTAGGTAGATATGGCTGGGCGCAGTGGCTCATGCCTGTAATCCAAGCACTTTAGGAGGCTGAGGTGGCTGGATCACCCAAGGTCGGGAGTTTGAGACCAGCCTGACCAACATAGTGAAAATCTCTCTATTAGAAAAATAAAAAATTGCAAGTATTAGCCGGGTGTGGCAGCTCACGCCTGTAATCCCAGCCCTTTGGGAAGCTGAGGCAGGCAGATCACGGGGTCAGCAGTTTGAGATCAGCCTGGCTAACACGGTGAAACCTTTATACTAAAAACACAAAAAATTAGTTGGGTGTGATGGTACATGTGTGTCGTCCCAGCCATTCAGGAGGCTGAGGCAGGAGATTTGCTGGAACCCAGGAGGCAGAGGCTGCAGTGAGTCGAGATCGCACCACTGCCCTCCAGCCTGGATGACAAGAGCAAGACTCCATCTCAAGAAGAACAGAGAGAGAAATGGATACGCACACACACAGAGAGAGAGAGAGGGAGAGAGAAATGAGTGGAGGCCCCTTGAGCAGCTGAGCCTGTGGGGAGTCCCGTTTCAACCCACAGGAAGTGAGGCTCCTGGCCCTGGCTCTGTTAAGCTCATCAAGCGTTTTCTCTGCAAATATTCGAGGAATTTTCACTGCGGCTGCAACGTTCAACTCTTGAGTCCGGGAACAGAGCCTGAGCACCTGCGAGACTGCCTCAGGGCCAGCTCCTGTCACTGGAAATCTGGTGCGTGGCCCTTGCTGGACCCCTGGAGCTTGGGGTTCCTGCAGCCCCACCTGCTCCAGGAGCAGCCTGGGTACTCGGGGAGACACGTGGTGTGAAGACTTTGAGCTGAGATGCTGTGTGCTGTGTGTGTGCACGGGCACGGGTGCCTGTGTAGAAACACATACATTAGTCACAGCTGACCCTTGAGTAACATGGATTTAAACCGCAGGGTCCACGGCTGTGTGCATTTTCCTACGTCTCGGCCACCCCTGACATGGCAGGAGCTACTCATGCTTCCTCCTCCTCTGCAGCCTCCTCAAAGATAAAGATGTTTGAGGCCGGGATCGGTGGCTCACAGCACTTAGGGAGGCTGAGGTGGGCAGATCACGAGGTCAGGAGTTCGAGACCAGCCTGGCCAACATGCTGAAACCCCGTCTCTACTAAAAATAGAAAAATTGCCTGGATGTGGTGGTGCGTGCCTGAAATCCCAGCTACTCGGGAGGCTGAGGCTGGAGAACCGGTGAACCTAGGAGGCGGCGGGTGCGGTGAGCCGAGATGGCGCCACTGTATTCCAGCCTCGGAGACAAAGCGAGACTCCACCTCAAAAATAAATAAATAAAAGATGACCCACTTGAATACTAAATAAACTTTACTATTTGAATGAACACTAAATACACTTTCTCTTCCTTAGGATTTTTATTTTTTTGGATTCGGAGTCTCACTGTGTTGCCCAGGCTGGGCAGTCTTCATCTCGGCCTCCCGGGTTCAGCTCCTCCTGCCTCAGCCTCCCGAGTAACTGGGAATAGAGGCGCTTGCCATCACGCCTGGCTAATTTTTTTTAGCAGAGATGGCATTTTGCCACGTCGGCCAGGCTGGTGTTGAACTCCTGACCTCGGCTGATGTACCCAGCTTGACCTCCCAAAGGGATGTGAGTCTGCGCCTGGCTGGCTGAGATGAACATTTCACTCAGCAGACTTTGGGGTGTTTTTATTGAGACAGACGCTCACTCCTTCGCCGAGGCTGCATTGTATGGGCCGGGTCACAGGTCTCTGCAGCCTCAAACTCCCGGGCTGAAGCCATTCTCCCACCGTGGCCCCCTGCCTGTGGGGATGAGAGGTGTCTATTGGCCTACTTTACTTTTAAACTTTTTTAATTTTCAATTTTTGAGATGGTGTTTCGCTCTTGTCGCCCAAGCTGGAGTGCAGTGGCGCGATCTCTGCCTCCTGGGTTCAAGCGATTCTCCTGCCTCAGCCTCCTGACTGTCTATGTGTGTGTATCTGTGTCTGTGTCTCTGTGTATATGTGTATGTGTGTGTGTGTGTGCGTGCGTATGTGTGTGTGCCTGTATATGTGTATGTGTGTGTCTGTGTATATGTGTATGTGTATGTGTGTGTCTGTGTATATGTGTCTCTGTGTGTGTGTACATCTGTGTGTCTGTATGTGTATGTGTATCCCTCTTGTTGCCCAGGCTGGAGTGCAATGGCGTCATCTCGGCTCACCGCAGCCTCTGCCTCCTGGGTTCAAGCGATTCTCCTGCCTCAGCCTCCTGACTGTGTGTATCTGTGTCTGTGTCTATGTGTGTGTGTATGTGTATATGTGTATGTGTGTGTATGTATATGTGTATATGTGTCTCCGTGTGTGTCTGTGTGTGTGTATATCTGTGTGTCTGTATGTGTATGTGTATCCCTCTTATTGCCCAGGCTGGAGTGCAATGGCACGATCTCAGCTCACCGCAGCCTCTGCCTCCTGGGTGCAAGCGATTCTCCTGCCTCTGCCTCCTGAGTAGCTGGGATTACAGGCACCCACCCGCACGTCTGGCTAATTTTGTATTTTTAGTAGAGACGGGGTTTCACCATGTTGGCCATGTTGGTCTCGAACTCCTAACCTCAGGTGATCCTCCTGCCTTGGCCTCCCAAAGTGCTGGGACTACAGGCGTGAGCCACCGTGTCCGGCCACCTGTGGAAACTTGAGCCAAAAACACAACGTGCGAACGAAAACATGAACCTGACGAGCATTGCTCACCTGGCTTGCAGCTCTGGGCGACCCTGCTGAGTATCTCGTGAACTCTGTCATCCGGCCAGTCATGGATGATCTGGCATAGGATGTACAGGTCTGCGGGGGGGAGGCGGTCCCGGAAAAAGTCACCTGGTTTAAAGGCAAAAGGTGACGCGTCCGTCAGGTATGGGAGAAGTGGTCCTCCATTTTTTTTTTAGACAGAGTTTTACTCTGTCGCAGAGGCTGGAGTGCAGGCCACAATCTCAGCTCACTGCAACCTCTGCCTCCCAGGTTCAAGTGATTCTCCTGCCTCAGCCTCCCGAGTAGCTGTGATTACAGCCGTGCAGCAGCACGCCCGGCTAACGTTTTTATTTTTAGTAGAGACAGGGTTTCACCACGTTGACCAGGCTGGTCTTGAACTCCGGACCTCGTGATCCACCCGCCTTGGCCTCACAAAGTGCTGAGATGACAGGTGTGACCCACGAAGCCATCCTGCCATGACAGATGCTGGGACGGCCACCCACGTCCTAGATCAGGCAGGGAGAAGAGACGGGCGTGAGTGGGAATGGGTGTGCCCGAGGTATATCCCCGTGGGGACTTGAACGCAGCACCGTGAAGAGCTGGTTAGTGATGTCCCACCCGTGTGATTTGATTCCGGCAGGGAAAGGATCAGCCGCGGTGGCTCACCCCTGTAACCTCGGCACTTTGGGAGCCTGAGGTGGGTGGACATTCTGAGGTCGGGTGTTCCAGACCAGCCTGGGCAACATGGCGAAACCCCACATCTAATCGCTACTAAAAATACAAGTTAGCCGGGCGTGCTGGCGGGTACCTGTAATTCTAGCTGCTTGGGCAGCTGAGGCCGAACAGTCGCTCGAACCTGGGAGGGGGAGGTTGAAGGGAGCCGAGATTGCACCACTGCCCTCCAGCCTGGCTGACCAAAAAAAAAATTTTAAAAAAAGGCAGGAAATTCAGGGGTGTGACCCGGGCAAGGCAAGCAGAGTCAGCAGGAAGCGGAGTCTCCATCTGCCAGGGGGGAGTCAGGTCTTCGCTGGCCAATTCCCCTATTCAGGCGCCCGGGGAGAGTTGGGTGCAGGGGGTGTACGTAGCTACACACCGCTCGGTAATTGTGGAAATAAGATGGTCTGCTGTAGGGCAGTGAACGGTCTCCCCTTAAAACATACATTCAAGGCTGGGCGCGGTGGTTCACGCCTGTAATCCTGGCACTTTGGGCGGCCGAGGCGGGTGGATCACATATGCTCAGGGGTTCAACATCAGCCTGGCCTATGTGGTGAAACCCCGTCTCTACTAAAAAAGCAAAACTTTGCTGGGTGTGGCGGCGTGTGCTGTCGTCCCAGGTACTCGGGAGGCTGAGGCAGGAGGATCACGTGCACCAGGAAGTGGAGGTTGCCCTGAGCTGAGACAGTGGCACCGCACTCCGGCCTGGGCGACTGAGGGAGACACCGTCTCAAACTCAAAAAGGAAACAAAACAAAATAGCTGGGTGCAGTGGTTGATGCCTGTCATCCCCGTACATTCAAAGGCTGAGCTGAGCGGATCACCTGAGGTCAGGAGTTCAAGACCAGCCTGGCCAACATGGTGAAACCCCGACTATCTACTAAAAATACAAAAATCCCATCTATCTACTAAAAATACAAAAATTACCCGGGCGTGGTGTGGGCGCCTGTAATCTCAGCTACTCGGGAGGCTGAGGCAGGAGAATCGCTCAAACCCGGGAGGTGGAGGCTGCAGTGAGCTGAGATCACACCACTCTACTTAAGCATGGCTGACAGAGCAAGACTCAAAAAGTAAAATAAACTTTAGCATTTCTGTTTCTCCTGCAGACGAGCTGTAGGGCGACTGTGGCGTGTGTGTGTACGTTTTGAGATGGAGTCTCTCTGTGTCACCGGGCTGCAGTGGCTCGATTATCGGCTCACTGCAACCTCCACCGCCCGGGTTCAAGCGATTCTCCTGCATCAGCCTGCTGAGTAGCTGGGATTACAGGCACCTGCCACCACATCTGGCTAATTTTTGTATTTTTAGTAGAGACGGGGTTTCACCGTCTTGGCCAGGCAGGTCCCAAACTCCCCACCTCAGGTGATCATCCTGCATCAGCCTCCCAAAGTGCTGGGATTAGTGATGTGAGCCACGGTGCCCAGCCAATTGTGTTTCTTTAAAAACTAGAAAGATACCCAGAAACCTTGGGGGGAAGAGGGTCATGGAGGTGCACAGGGCCTCTGCCCGCAGGCCTGGCCGACGTCGGATGCTGCTGAGTTACGGCTCGGGAGGCATCTCCTCTCAATCCGTGCAGGCACCTGCAGCTGCCACTTCTCTCAGTCTAACCTGGGGCCGCCCTGTTGCAGCTCCTGCGTGTTCTCCTTCTGTGGCCTCGGTGCCATGGACACCCGTGGTCACAGAGTTCAGCTGTTCCCCATCTCCACTCCCCACTGACTACCTGCACCCAGGACAGCTTCACTCAGCCGCCCACCTGGTGGTTCTTTTGTATTTATTATTATTTTCTTCTTTATTTGAGATGGAGTTTTGCTCTTGTTGCCCAGGCTGGAGTGCACTGGTCTGATCTCGGCTGACTGCGACCTCCGCCTCCCTCCTAGGTTCAAGTGATTCTTGGCCTCAGCCTCCTGAGTAGCTGGGATTTCAGGCACCAGCCGCTAAGCCTGGCTGATTTCTTTCTTTCTTTTTTTTTTTTTTTTGAGATGGGGTTTTGTTCGTTACCCAGGCTGGAGTGCAATGGCGCGATCTCCGCTCACCGCAACCTCCGCCTCCTGGGTTCAGGCAATTCTCCTGCCTCAGCCTCCCGAGTAGCTGGGATTACAGGCACGTGCCACCATGTCCAGCTAATTTTTGTATTTTTAGTAGAGATGGAGTTTCACCATGTTGACTAGGACGGTCTCGATCTCTTGACCTTGTGATCCTCCTGCCTCAGTCTCCCAAAGTGCTGGGATTACAGGTGTGAGCCACTGCACCTGGCCAAGATTACTTTTTTTTTTTTTTTGAGACAGAGTTTCGCTCTTGTCACCCAGGCTGGAGTGCAATGGCGCAATCTCGGCTCACCACAACCTCTGCCTCCTAGGTTCAGGCAATTCTCCTGCCTCAGCCTCCTGAGTAGCTGGGAGTACAGTCAGGTGCCACTGTGCCCAGCTAATTTTTTGTATTTTTAGTAGAGATGGGGTTTAACCTTGTTGACCAGGATGGTCTCGATCTCTAGACCTCCTGGTCCACCCTCCTCAGCCTCCCAAAGTGCTGGGATGACAGGCATGAGCCACCGCGCCCGGCGCATTTACCATTACTATTATTGTTTTATTTATTTATTTTTTCCGAGGTGGAGTTTCGCTCATTGCCCAGGCTGGAGTGCAGTGCGCACTCTCAGATCACTGTGACCTCCGCCTCCCTCGTGGGTTCCAATGATTCTTCTGTTTCAGTCTCCCAAATAGCTGGGATTACCGGTGCCCGCCACCACACCTGGCTAAGTTTTTTGTATTTTTTTTTAAGACGGGGTTTCACCATGTTGGGCAGGCTGGTCTCGAACACCCGACCTCAGGTGATCTGCCCACCTTGGCCTCCAAAGTGCTGGGATTACAGGCGTCAGCCACCGTGCCCGGCCGAGTTTTTTTATTTTTACTAGAGATGGGTTTCTCCATGTTGGTAGGGTTGGATTCAATCTCTCCACCTCAGGTGATCCACCCACCTCGGCCTCCCAAAGTGCTGGGATTACAGGCGTAAGCCACCGCGCCTGGCCACGTCTACCTGGTTAGAGATGCCCTCGTGTCTCTGTGTACCCACACACACACACACACACACACACACACAGGCATACCCACGGACGCAGACACACGGGCATCGCACATATAGCCACACAGATGCACCGACGCACATACAGTCACAGACACACATGCATCACATGCCACAAACAGGCACCCACAGACATGCACGGACACGCAGAGATGTACCCACACACAGGTACACACACACACGCAGCAGTCACATACACACAGACACCCACAGCCACACACCATGCACACAGAGGGAGACACACAGACATGCACATATACACCCACAGAGACACACACACACACACACACCCCCTCAGATACATACACAACCACACACCACACAGAACACACACACACACACACACACACACACACACAGACGGTCTCAAGCACAGACACACATGGAAGAACATAACACACACATGCACACACAAACACCCACACGGACATACACAAACAGAAACCCACACAGACACACACGCAACAATCACATACGCACACCCACAGCCACACACCATTCACACAGAGGCAGACACACAGACATGCACATATACACCCGCAGAGACACACACACACATACACATACACACACATCCTCAGATACATACACAACCACACACCACACAGAACTGTGCACACACACACAGAGACGGTCCCATGCACAGACACGCATGGAAGAACATACCAGACACACATGCACACACAAACACCCACACGGACATACACAAACACAGAAACCCACACAGACAGACAGGCACACACACACCCACAGCAGTCACATATGCAGACACCCACGACACACACACACACACACACACACACACCCGCAGAGACACATGCACCTACACACACCCTCACAGACACATACACAACCACCACACACCACAGAGACATGCCATGCACAGACACATGTGCAGACGCAGACACAGAGAGTCTCACGCACAGACACACAAGGTCACACCACACAGAGACACACATACACCACACACAAGGACATAGCACACAGAGACACACAAGCACAGTCAGCTATGCACACAGACACCCAGAGACACACACTGTGGAAAAGCACACACAGAAACATGCATGCACGCACGCCGCCCCACGTGCTCTCTGGAAGGCGGTGAGGCAGCAGGGCAAAAGCGAGGAAGCCTCACCGGCAGCGAATCGGACCTGACCCGCCTGCGGCCCGGCAGGTTGGAAGTGTGCGGCCAGCTCGATGGTTTCGGGGAGGTCGAACACGGTCACCTGCAGATGCGGGTTCTCCCGGATCAGCTCTTGGGCCAGCGCGCCCATGCAGCCTGCGGGGAAGCAAATGCCTGCTGTGCGGCCGGGTCGTCCTGGCGCCGACGGAACCCTGACCACCCTCCAAAGCTCAACCGAGTAGAATTAACGTTCACGCGATGGCCAGTGCCACAGCAGCCATTCTGGGCCACGTGTGGGGACACAGACTTGGAGGGAAATCCTTCCAGCCCGGGGTGGGGGTCTGTACTCCTCCCTTCTCCTTCCTGCTAAGGGGATGCAGACACCATGGCCGGGGACGGTGGCTCACGCCTGTCATCCCAGCACTTTGGGAGGCCGAGGCAGGTGGATCACCAGGTCAAGACATCGAGACCAGCCTGCCCAAAAATTAGCCAGTTGTGGTGGCAGGTGCCTGTAATCCCAGCTACTCGGGAGGCTCATGCAGGAGAATCGCTTGAACCCGGGAGGTGGAGGTTGCAGTGAGCTGAGATCAGACCATCCCACTCCAGCTTGGGCAACAGAGCAAGACTCAACCTCCGCCTCCTGGGTTCAGGCCATTCTCCTGCCTCAGCCTCCTGAGTTGCTGAGACTGTAGGCGCACGCCACCATGCCCAGCTAATTTTTGTATTTTTAGTAGAGACAGGGTTTCTCCATGTTGACCAGGCTGGTCTTAGCTGCCCCAGGTTTCATGGTGGTACCCACCCCGGTCACAGAGGAACCCAAGTCAGTCCTGGTCAGGGCTGCGCTCACCACTCCTACCCTGGATGTGCCTTGTCCCCCCCCGGGCAAGGAAGCCCTGCCCAGCCTGATCCTGAGCCCGGCTCCCAGGGGACAGCCCTCCACCCTGGCTCCCGAAATCCCTCGGGGCCTCCCCGGCTCTCCCCTCAGCAGGCGGCAGTGACAGGGTCAGGGCATCCTCCTCGAGGCCCAGGCTGGCTGCTCACTCCGGCTCGGGGCGCCGTCTGCGCCTCTCGGCTTCTCCACCGCTGGCTTCTGTCTGTGTCACTCTGTCTCCCTTCATCTCTGTTCTCCTTCTATCTCACCATCTCCTTCTGTCTCTTTCTGCCTCTATCTCTGTCCCTCCAAGCCTCCTTGTCTGTCTCCCTGTCTCCCTCTGTGTCTCTGTCTCGCTGTCTCTGTTCTCTATCGCACCATCTCCTTCTGTCTCTTCCTGCCTTTCTGTCCCTCCAAGCCTCCATGTCTCTGTCTCCCTCTGTGAGACTGTGTGTCCCTCTGTGCGTCTCTGTCTCCCTCTCTGTTCTCTTTCTATCACTCCATCTCCTTCTGTCTCTCTCTCTGCCTCTATCTCTGTCCCTCCAAGCCTCCCTGTCTCTGCCTCCCAGTCTCAGTCTCTCTGTGTTCTTCACAGAGACACAGAAACAGAGAGACAAGAGTATCTCCAGCCTGTGTGGAGATGAATGGAATCTCGGCTCACTGCAGCCTCCGCCTCCTGGGTTCAAACGATTCTCCCACCTCAGCCTCCCGAGTAGGTGGAATCACAAGCCCGCCACCACGCCCGGCTAATTTTGCGCATTTTTGGTAGAGATGGGGTTTCACCATGTTGGCCAGGCTGGTCTCAAACTCCTGACCTCAGGTAATCATCACACCTTGGCCTCCCAAGCTGGCTGGGATGACCGGCTCATGCCACCAAGTCCTCATCTTTCATTGTTTTTATAGAGATGGGGTCTCACTGTGTTGGCCAGGCTGGTCTCAAACTCCTGGGCTGAAACCATCCTCCCAACTTCGTCTCAAAAAGTGCAGGGATTCCAGGTGTGAGTTCCGACGTACGGCCTCCAAACCCCTTTCTGGGAGGAAATTCTGGTTTCTTATTTTTTTTTTTCAGATGAAGTTTTGCTGTTGTGTCCCAGACTGAAGTACAATGTCGCGATCTCAGCTTACTACGACCTCCGCCTCCCGGGTTCAAGCGATTCTCCTGCCTCCGCCTCCTGAGTCGCTGGAATTACAGGCGCCCACCACCACGCCCGGCTGATTTTTTGTATTTTTATCAGACGGTTTCACTATGTTGGTCAGGCTGGTCTTGAACTCCCGACCTCGTGATCCACACACCTCGGCCCCTCCCCAAGTGCTGGGACGACAGGCGTGAGCAGCCGCGCCCGGCCACTGGCAGTTCTGTCTGCAGCTGCTACGGGGTAACAGTGGACGATAGTTACGGTGGACCTGTTCCAGAGGTGACTGAAGACACAGCCACAGCACCAAGGCTTTGGGATGTGCCAGCCTGGAGACCGACTGATCCAGGCGCCCACGCTGCCCTGTGCGCCAACGTGCCTTAGCAGGACGCACGCCAGGCGGAAAGGCTCCGCGGCGGCTCCCCCTACCTGGAACACATCTTCCGCCTTCTTCCCCTGCACCCGGTGGTGCTGGTTTCTTCCCTCTCGGATGGTGAATTACAGGTGCGTAAAGAGGTTCCAGGTGACCTCACTGCTGTACATGATGAAGCCATGAAGAGACCAGTCACCGTCCGACGTCAGGTAGAGGTTTGCCGCCTCTGTGTTACTGTAACCTGAAGAAACAGGATGCTCATGTGACCTCAGAACAAGGAAACCCAAGGAGGCCGGCTGCGGTGGCTCATGCGGTCACCCAGCACTTCGGGAGGCCGAGGCGGGCGCATCACGAGGTCGGGAGTTCGAGACCAGCCTGACCAATATGGAGAAACCTCATGTCCACTAAAAGTAACAAAAATTAGCCAGGCGTGGTGGTGGGCACCTGACATACCAGCTACTCAGGAGGCTGAGGCAGGAGAATCACTTGAACCCGGGAGGTAGAGGTTGCAGAGAGTGGAGGTCCTGCCACTGCACTCCAGGCTGGGTGACAGACCAAGACTCTATCTAAAGAGGCCAGGCGCGGTGGCTCATGCCTGTCAACCCAGCACACTGGGAGGTCGACATGGGCAGATCACGAGGTCGGGAGTTCGAGACCAGCCTGACCAACATGGGGAAACCCTGTCTCTACTAAAAATAGAGGCTTGGTGGTGGGCGCCTGTAATCCCAGCTACTCGGGAAGCTGAGGCAGGAGAATCACTTGAACCCGGGAGGGGGAGGTTGCAGTGAGCCTAGATCGTGCCACTGCACTCCAGCCTGGGGGACAGAGCCAGACTCCATTTAAAAAAAAGAAAGAGGCCAGGCATGGTGGCTCATACCTGCAGTCCCAGCACTTTTGGAGGCCGACGTGGGTGGAACATGAGGTCAGGAGTTTGACAGCAGCCTGGCCAAGATGTTTTCCCATCTCTACTAAAAATAACAAAAATTAGGCAGCTGGGGCGGCGCACACCTGTAGCCCCAGCTACTTGGGAGGCTGAGGCAGGAGAATTGCTTGGATGCAGGAGGTGAAGGTTGCAGTGAGCCGAGGTTGTCCCAGTGCACTCCAGCCTGGGCGACAGAGTGAGACTCCATCTAAACAATAAATAAATAAATCTTCTAGGTTACATCCTAGGGGTTCTGTTGCCCTGGAGAGCCCCGAGTGATACAGGGAAGTTCTTCCTTCCACCCACTTCATGCCCAGGTCAGCTGTCCGCAGACGCAGCCCGCAAGCTCCCTGCCAGGACGCCCCCTCCCACAGAACGAGAGGCTGGAAGGCGGAGGACCTGTCAGTGGACACCCATACGTGTAAACAGATGGCCTGGCACCTCTCTGGTTCTGCTGTGTCAGAAGCGGCCCTGGGTTCAAGTTGGTCATGAAAGGTGACCGTTCCTGACACCTACTGTGGAGCAGGCAGCCCGTGCAGACGACAGCTGCTCCTAGACGTCAAGTGCACAAAGCCTTTCTCCATATTCATCATGATTTCCTTCCCTCCTTCCTTTCTTCCCTCCCTCCCTTCCTTCTCTCCTTCCCTCCTTCCCTCCCTCCCTTCCTCCCTTCACTCTCTCTTTTCTGACAGTGTTTCGCTCTTGTTGCCCAGGCTGGAGTGCAGTGGCACGATCTCGGCTCACTGCAACCTTCCCCTCCTGCATTCAGGTGATTCTCCTGCCTCAGCCTCCCAAGCACCTGGGACTACAGGCACGCGCCACCACACCTGGCTAATTTCATATTTTTAGTAGAGATGGAGTTTCACCGCGTTGCTCAGGCTGGTCTCAATCTCCTGATCTCAGGTGATCCACAGACCTTGGCCTCTCAAAGTGCTGGGATTACAGGCATGAGCCACCATGATTTTTAGTACAGGAGAACGGCACTGAACTCTTCTAGCTGGGAAGACGTTCTGCCTCCTATGCTCTGAACTCTTAACGATATAGTCACGTGTCTCTGCGGCAAGGACGCAGCCTCTGGGGCCTCGACTTGAGCATGCTTTGTGTCCTAATCTGCTCAGGCGTCGTCTGTCCTCCTGCCCTTCCCAAGCTACTCAAGGACTTGGCCATGTGCTCTGTTCTACCATCGTGCTGAAGAGTTCTGTTTGAGTCACAAAACACATCATCCATCCACCCATCCATCCACTTATCCATCCATTCCCCACCCATGCACCCACCCAACCATCTGTTCACCCACCCTCCCGATCACCCACCTACTCACTCATCCATCCACTCACCCACCCATCCAGCCAGCCATCTACCCACTCACCCACTCATCCATACATTTCACCACCCAACTACCCATCCACTGACCCACTGATACATGTATTCATCCACCCTCTCATCCGTCCGTCCATCCGTCCGTCCATCCATCCATCCATCCATCTGTTCATCCACCCTCCCAATCAGCCACCGGGTCATTCACTCATTCATCCACTCACCCACCCATACATCCACCCATACACTTACTCTTCCATACATTCCCCCACCTAACTACCCCTCCACCAATCCACTGATACGTGTATTCATCCACCCTCTGATCCATCCATCCATCTATCCATCCATCCATCCATTCACCCACCCTCCCAATCATGCACCTAGTCATTCACTCATCCATCCATTCACCCACCCATCTATCCACCCATCTACATGCCCACTCATCCATCCATCCAACTACCCACCCATTCATCCAACCATCTACCCACTCACCCACTCATCCATACATTCCCCCACCCAACTATCCATCCACCGACCCACTGATACATGTATTCATCCAGCTTCTCATCCATCCATCCATCCATCCATCCATCCATCCATCCATTCACCCACCCTCCCAATCACACAGCTAGTCATTGACTCATCCATCCATTCACATACCCATCCATCCACCCATCTACACGCCCACTCATCCATCCATCCAACCGCCCGCCCATTCATCCATCCATCCACTCACCTAACTCATCCATCTATCCACCCACCCATCCTTCCAACCATCCATCCATCCATCCATTCACCCACCCTCCCAATCACGCACCTAGTCATTCACTCATGCATCCATTCACCCAGCCACCCACCCACCCACCTACATGCCCACTCATCCATCCATCCAACCGCTCACCCATTCATCCATCCATCAACCCACCTAACTCATCCATCCACCCATTCATTGATTCACTGATCCACCCATCCACCCACTCATCCATCCATTCCCTCACCCAACTATCCATCCACTGACCCACTGATACATCTGTTCATCAACCCTACCATCTATCCATCCATCCATCCAATTATGCACCCTCCCACCCATCCACCCATCCATCCACCCATCCAATAATCCACCCATCCATCCTCACATCCACCCCATCCATCATCCACCCAATCACCCACCTACTCATCCATCCACCCAACCACTGATTCACTGATCCATGTATCATCCACCCGTCCACACCCATCCATCCACCCACTTATTCATCCATTCCCTCATGCAACTACCCATCCACCGATCCACTGATACATCCATCCATCCACCCACCCACCCATCCATCCACTCACCCACCCTCCCAATCACCCATCCATCCATCCACGCATCCATGCATTCATTCATCCAATCCCCTCACCCAACAACCCATCCACTGATCTGCTGATACATCTATTCATACACCCTCCCATCCATCCATCCGTCCATCCATCCATCCGTCCAACCCTCCCATCCAACCATCCACCCATCCACCCACTCATCCATCCATTACCTCATGCAACTACCCATCCACCCTCCCATCCATCCACCCACTCATCCATCCATTCCCTCACGCAACTACCCATCCACCGATCTGCTGATACATCTACTCATCCACCCTCCCATCCATCCATCCACCCACCCTCCCAATCACCCATCCATCCATCCACCCATCCACCTACTCATTGATCCATTCCCTCACGCAACTACCCACCCACTGATCCATGAATACATCTATTCATGCACCCTCCCATCCATCCATCCATCCATCCATCCATCCACCCACCCACCCACGCAATTATGCACCCTCCCACCTATCCATTCATCAATCCATCCATCCATCCACACACACACTCATCCATCCATTCCCTCATGCAACTAGCTATCCACCAATCCACTGATATATGTATTCATCCACCCTCCCATCCATCCATCTACCCACCCATCCAATTATGCATCCTCCCACCCACCCACTCATCCATCCATTCCCTCACCCAACTACTCATCTACCAATCCAGTGATACATCTATTCATCCATCTTCTCATCCACCATTCATCCATCCATCCATCCATCCATCCATTCATTCACCCACCCTCCCAATCACCAATCCATCCATCTACTCATCCATCCATTCCCTCACCCAAAAACCCATCCACCAATCCAATGATACATCTGTTCATCCACACTCTCATCCATCCATCCAAGCATCCACCCATCCATCCATCCATTCATCCATCCACCCATCCACCCATCCAACCATCCACCCATCCATCAATCTAGCCACCCATCCATGCACCCATCCACCGATTCACCAATCCATCCATTCGCTACCCACCCTCCCATTTACCCATCCATCCACCTACCCACCCACCCACCCATCCGTTCACCCATTCACTGATCTACCAACCCATCCACCTTCCCATCCATCCATCTATCCAGTTACTATTATCTATCCATCCATTCATCAATGCATCCATCCATCTATCTATCCATTTACATATCTATCAGCTCTACTTATCATCTATGTCTATCCGTCTCCATCATCCATCTATATCGAGGTATCTATACATTTATCGTCTATCCATGTATCTGTCTACCCACCCATCCAGGTTATCTGTCTATAAACATAAATAAACAAGTAAAGACATGTCTGTGTCCCCGTGTTGGGTTTTTTTCTCAGGAGAACACTGACTAGATACGCCCACTTTGAGACCAGACCTCATAAGGAGCCTGCATTTCTCCTGCCTACTCGCAGCCACCGCTGTTCCCTCTCTCATCCACCGTCTGCTTCTAATCCTTTTGGGAACAGCAGCGACCCTGAGGGCAGAGAGGGGACAGAAGGTCTGGCCCTCCTTCCTCACCCTGCCTGGGCTCCAGGTCAACGTCCCTCAGTGACTTACTTCTACTTGCCAAGATTCTCAGGGCCAAACCTGAAGTTAAGAGTCTCATTACCTTGCTCTGACTTCTCCAGGAACGCCAGGCCTGCGCAGAAGTCCAGAAGCCTCTCCGTGCCGCACACAGAGGCGTCCACTTTGTTGGCAATGCCCGCGGCCTTCTGGGGAGCTTCGTCTTTTAACAGATCAAACACCTTCAGCTTGCAGGCGGTGAATAGGGCCTGCCCGTTAAAAACAGGTGCAGGGGGACTCAGTGAGTCACTTGCCAAGCCCTTTTTCCTCCCACAGACCCTCCACGAGATCCTGGAGGCCAAGGGTGTCGAAACTGTTTCACGTGGCCGCTGAGCTTTCTCTTAGAGCGAGCAGTGGGGATTATAGGATCAAGTCCCCAGCTACGAGGCATAAAAGCACATCTAGGAATGTCATGTAGGAAAACCATCCCACGGGGGGAAAATCAACATGCTACAGATATGGGTCAAGTCCAAAACCCACACATTCAATCCCTAATCCCCACAGTATCTCAGGATGTGACTCTATTTGTAGGCAGGTTTTTTTTCCCTAATTAAATTTTTTTTTTTTAATTTATTGAGATGGAATCTTGCTCTGTTGCCCATGCTGGAGTGCAACGGCACGATCTCGGCTCACTGCAACCTCTGCCTCCCAGGTTCAAGCGATTCTCCTGACTCAGCCTCCAGAGTAGCTGGGACTATAGGTGTGCACCACCACACCCGGCTAATTTGTGTGTTTTTAGCAGAGATAGGGTTTCACCGTGTTGGCCAGGACAGTCTCGAACTCCTGACCTTAGGTGATCTGCCCACCTAGGCCTCCCAAAGTGCTGGGATAACAGGTGTGAGCCACTGTGCCCGGCCTGTAGGCGTGGTTTTAAAGAGATGATAAAGGTAAAATGAGGTCATTTGGGTGGACCAGATCCAATGGCACTCCGGGGTGCTTATAGGAAGAGGAGGTGAGGACACAGGCACGCACAGAGGGACGACCCCGTGAGGACACAGGGACAAGATGGCGTCTCCAAGCCCATGAGAGAGGCCTCAGGAGGAGCCGGCCCTGCCCACACCTGGATCTCAGACCTCCAGCCTCCAGGACTCTGTTGTTTATAAACCTCCCAGTGGCTAATAAATTATATAAATTATGTAATTTATATATCTCTTCTTCTTACAAGGACCCCAGTCCTATTGGATTTGGTCCTCCCAAATGACCTCACTTTACCTTAACTATAATTACACGATTATATATAAATATGTAATCACAGAATTATATATTTAACTAACATATATTCTAATATAAATATATTAGTTAAATAATTACATAACAGTTATATAATTATATATTTATAAATTGCATAAATGTACATAATTATGTTATATAATGGTATACTTATATAATTATGATTATATAAATTACGTGAATTATATGACTTATTTATATAATTATTAAGTTATGTAAATTATATAGCTTGTATAAATTATACAAGTCAAATTATATATACAAGTTATATAATCGTAACATATAATTTATGTAATTATATAATTTATGTTATATTATTTATGTAATTATGTTTATATAATTATGTGATTATAAGCAACTATATAATTATAAATAAATTATAACTATAAATTATATTTTAAATTATAATCATAACTTATCAATTCTTATTAAATAAGGATCTCTAATTTAACAATGGTGCCATCTCAGCTCACCACAACCTCCACCTCCCGGCTTCAAGCGATTCTCCTGCCTCAGCCTCCTGAGTAGCTGGGACTACAGGCATGCACCATGCCCAGCTCATTTTTGTATTTTTAGCAGAGATGGGGTTTCACTGTTGGTCAGGATGGTCTCCATCTCTTGACCTTCTGAACTGGCTACCTGAGCCTCCCAAAGGGATGGGATGACAGCTGTGAGCCACCACGCCTGGCCGGGATCTTGAGATGAGTCGGGGTCAGTGGATGAGGGAGATGCAGGCACACAGGAGGAGGCCACGTGGAGACACAGGCAGAGACTGCAGTGATGGGGCCACAAGCCCAGGGATGCTGGAGGTGCCAGGAGCTGGGAAAGGCAGGAAGGACACTCGCTAGAACCGCCAGAGAAGGCGTGCCCGAGACACCTTCATCTCAGCCTGCCACCCTCCAGGACTGTGACGACAAGACTCCTGTGGATTTAAGCCCTGCGTGTGGTCATTTGGGACAGTGGCCCAAGGATGCAGACACAGGTACCTTCGATGTTTTGAAGCCATTGATGAGTTCCAGGAGGCGTGTGGGGAACGGGGGCAGGGTCTCACAGGTCCTGTTCCCCTCAGCCTCTGCTGTGGCGTCTCTGGCCACTCCAGCCTCAGCCTTGTCCCTCAGAGCGGGCGCCGGGCCGCCCTCGTCCACGTCACTGAGGTCTTCGAAGGTGTCCACGGCCGGGATGGAGCCATGCTTGATGCACTGCAGGTCCTCCGGCCAGGGCGGGTCGTACAGCTGCATCAGCTGCTTGCAGAAGTGGTTGAGTGGGAAGCAGACGACATTGAGGAAGTCCCCGTGCACCGACTCCACCAGCATCCTGCCGAGAGCCTGGATCCCCTAGCCGCCTGCCTTGTCCCTGGCGGGGGCAGTGGAAGGGAAGAGGTCACAACCAGGAGAAACATCTCCCCTGGTTAGATATGCCACAGCCACCAGGGCCGGGCGCGGTGGCTCACACCTGTCATCCCAGCACTGTGAGAGGCGGAGGCTGGAGGGACACCTGAACTTGTGAGTTCGAGATCAGCCTGGCCAACATGGAGAAACCCCGTATGTATTGAAAACGCAAAGATCAGCTGGGCATAGTAGCTCACGCCTGTCATCCCAGCACTGTGAGAGGCCGAGGTGGACGAACTCCTGAGGTCGCGAGTTCTAGACCAGCCTGGCCAACATGGAGAAACCCCGTCTCTACTAAAAATGCAAAAATCAGTCAGGCATGATGCTGGGAACCTATGATCCCAGCTACTCAGGAGGCTGGCGCAGAAGAACTGCTTGAACCCGGGAGGTGGAGGTTGCAGTGAGCCGAGATTGCACCACTGCCCTCCAGCTTCAGAAACAAGCACAAGATTCCGCCTCAAAAAAAAAACCCACGGCCAGGGCTGCCCTCCACTTTGGGCAGTCAGGCCAGAGGGTACAAAAGAACCAGATGCATCTTCTCTGGGTAGCTTCCTATTAAGGAGAGTTCAGTGCTGGGCCAAGGCTCTTTTCTCTCTTTCCTGGAGCCCGGAAGTTTGGGACAGACAAGAACATCCATCCATAGAGAATTCCGGAAAAATGCCAGCAATGGCGGCTGCATGAGGGGCATGAAAGCTGGCTCTAAGTCAATCCCAGACCACACCATCTGCTAGGAGACCTGGCCTGGAGGCAGTGACCCCCGCAGAGGCTGTGGAGTCAGGAATGATGGTGGTCACTGCCCCCAGTGTGGGTGGCCATGGCTGCCACACCTGCCAGGACCCAGGGAACTCCACATCTGGCCTCTGACTGAGCAGGAGCATGGCCATCTTGGACACACGCCTCCATCTTGGACACACAGCGCCATGTTGGACACACGCCGCCATCTTGGACACACGCCGCCATCTTGGACACACGCAGCCATGTAGGACACACGCCAACATGTTGGACACATGCCTCCATCTTGGACACACAGCGCCATGTTGGACACACGCTGACATGTTGGACACATGCCGCCATCTTGGACACACACCTCCATCTTGGACACACAGCGCCATGTTGGACACACAGTGCTGGACACACGCCGCCATCTTGGACACACGCCACCATGTTGGACACATACCACCATCTTGGATACACACCTCCATGTTGGACACACAGCCCCATCTTGGACACAAGCCACCATGTTGGACAAATGCCACCATCTTGGATACACACCTCCATGTTGGACACACAGCCCCATCTTGGACACATGCCACATTCTTGAACACACAGCACCATCTTGGATACATACACTGCTGTCTTGAATACACTCAGTGCCATCTTGGACACACGCTACCATCTTGGCCAGACAGTGCCATCTTGGACACACGGCACTATTTTGCACACAGAGTACCATCTTGGATATACACACTGCCATCTTGGACACACACTGTGTTGGACACACTGCACCATCTTGGACATACAGCGCCATGATGGACACAGACTGCCATTTGAAGTTCCCTTGATTAAAAACCACCTAAATCCTGCAGAAAAACATCAGCCTAATGGCTGATATCAGCATGATCAGAAAGATTCCAGCTCTGGAATAAATGCCCTGCGACCAGAAACACGCCAACCCCAAGATAACCTCCCTTCCAACCAGAGACACGTCAACCCCGCAATAAACTTTCCCTCAGAAACATTCCGAGCCTGCGATATGCTCCCCCTTCCTAAACCCTTAAGCGCCCTGAGTCTGTAGGAGAGAACGCTCCTGACCTAACTCTACCAGAAGCCCCGCTCAGGTTTATCCTCCAAAATAAACCTGTCGTTCACAGTTGAGCCACTTTTCTTGTTTCCTTCCTCTTTCTTTAACTTACATTTGGTGCCAAAACCTGGGATGGGTGTTGGGGGCAGAAGCTCTCTTGCAACCCAGAAGCAGTGGGTAGCAGCAGACTTAGGTAGAAGAAATCTTGGGGATGCCGAGTTTCTTCTTAGGTTGACCATCCTCTTTTAATTTTTTTTTTTTCTTTTTGAGATGGAGTTTCATTCTGTGGCCAGGCTGGAGTGCAGTGACACGATCTCAGTTCACTGTAACCTCCACCTCCCAGGTTCAAGCGATTCTCCTGCCTCAGCTTCCTGAGTAGCTGGAATTACCGGTGTCCGCCACCATATATGGCTAATATTTTCAGATTTTTAGTAAAGACGGGGTTTCACCACGTTGGCCAGGCTAGATTCGAACTCCTGACGTCGTGATCCACCCGCCTTGGCCTCCCAAAGTGCTGAGATTACAGGTTTGAGCCACCGCACCCGGCCCCATCCTTTTTCTTAATGAAAACGGTCCACAGGTCTCTCCTTCCTTAGAAACCTCTTCCTCCCAAACCCCTTTTGATCCTGCAGATAAACTCTCTGTACTCTCAAACCCTGCATCCGTTCCTCACCCATCCTCACTCTCCACCCCTCCTGCCCGCAAGCCTTTAGCCCCAAGCCTGGCCTCTCCCGTTTTCCATCCTAAAATGGTTCAAGCCGTCCAAGCTAGGCTGCCCTTCTCCCGATCTGGGAGGTGCCTCGGGCTGACGGCAATGCTTGCTTCCTGCACTTCTCCAGGTCTGATTTATCACAGATGGAACAGCTCCTGAGATTGTCCTCTGAAACGCTCTCTCATTATCACACGTAATTCCTGCACATAACCCAATGATTTAATGTAACTTGGCACAACATGTATGTCATTCTAACCTCCACCCTCAGCCATGCTTTAAAAAACAAACAAACAAAAGAACTCAGCTTCATTAAAATATATATCCAAGCTGTAAATATACTCAAAAGGCCTTTATGGTTTTCTGTTCCTAAACATTTTTTTTGGCAGGACACGGTGGCTCAGGCCTGTAATCCCAGGACTTTTGGAGGCCAAGGTGGGTGGATCACGAGGTCAGGAGTTACAGACCAGCCTGACCGATATGGTGAAACCTTGTCCCTACCAAAACTACAAAAATGAGCAGGTCGTGCTGGCATGTTCCTGTAGTCCCAGCTACTCGGGAGGCTGACACAGGAGAATTGCTGGAACCTGGAACCCGGGAGGCGGAGGTTGCGGTGAGCCGAGATTGCACCACTGCGCTCCAGCCTGAGTGACAAAGTGACGCGTCATCTAATAAATAAATGAAAAATAAATCTTGTTTTCCTGGAAAGCTTTTTGCTCATTTGACTTAATTTCTTTTCTCCACTCTGTCCTGTCTCCCGTGCTGCATGTTTAAGAGACCCTAAGACAACTTCTGGTGGCCTGGGACTCCTTGAGAAAACAGAAAAGGCACCACAAATCCCATTTGGGGAAAAATCTGTTCTCCTTATGGAACCCCTGGAATTAAAAATGAATAGGAGGCCGTGCACGGTGGCTCACGCCTATAATCCCAGCACTTTCGGAGGCCGAGGTGGGTGAATCACCGGAGGTCAGGAGATCAAGACCAGGCTGTGTAACGTGGTGATACTCCATCTGTACTAAAAAGACAAAAATTAGCTGGGTGTGGTAGTGGGTGCCTGTAGTCCCAGCTACTCAGGAGGCTGGGGCAGGAGAATCCCTTGAACCCGGGAGGCAGAGGCTGCAGTGAGCCGAGGTCATGCCACTGCACTCCGGCCTGGTGACAGAGCAAAACTCCGTCTCTACAAAAAAAAAAGACGAAAGAAATCTTATAATTAGTGAATCTTCTTCTGATTTCCTATGTGACTATCTGTGTATGTGTGCCATGTCTATTAAAAGAGCTCCATGTAACTGGCCTAAAAAAAAAGTAAGCACTTAAGACAAATACTTTTTTTTGAGACGGAGTCTTGCTCTGTCACCCAGGCTGGAGTGCAGTGGCGTGATCCCAAATCACTGCAACCTCCAGGGTTCAAGCGATTCTCCTGCCTCAGCCTCCTGAGCAGCTGGGACTATAGGTGCGTGCCACCACACCTGGCTAATTTTTGTGTTTTTCGTAGAGACGGAGTTTCACTATGTCGGCCAGGCTGGTCTCAAACTCCTGACCTCGTGATCCTCCTGACTCGGCCTCCCGCAGTGCTGGGATTACAGGCATGAGCCACCTTGCCCGGCCTTAAGTCAAATATTTTTGGGGAAAAAGCAAAAGCTCTGAGATCACTCAGTTCATGTAACTTGAATGTTTAAAAATTATGGGTACAGCAGCATTAAAAGTGCCTTAAAGGCTGCCGGCCTACATATTTCTGTGTGTTTATCAATCAAATGGTTTCTTACTTACCTCTGCCAAATACTACAAGGTGTCACAACTTGGCATAAAGGCTACACAAGTATAACTCAGCCCAAACAGAATCATCTTTGCTTGTGCATTTTTTTAGTAAATAAAACACCGATACTGGACCTTGAACTACTTAGGAGAACACCTTAACTTCTGATCTTGTGGCCTCAGGCAGTTCAGCCCAGAGATGTGAAGGAAGCTGGTTCTGGGAAAGGGCTGTTAGCGTCTCTGCCTCAAAGCTAAACATAAACTAAGTTAATAAATAAAACTAGGTCAGGCCTGCAGACATTTGAACTGAGCCATCAAACTTAGTAAGTTTGGAATTTTTTTTTTTTTTTTGAGATGGAGTCTCGCTCTGTCGCCCAGACTGGAATGCAGTGGTGTGATCTCGGCTCACTGCAACCTCCGCCTCCCGGGTTCAAGCGATTCTCCTGCCTCAGCCTCCCAAGGAGCTGGGAATACAGGTGCCCGCCACCACACCCAGCTAATTTTTGTGTTTTTAGTAGAGATGGGGTTTCGCTGTTGGACAGACTCGTCTTGAATTCCTGAACTCAGGAGATCCACTTGCCTCGACCTCCCAAAATGCTGGAATGGGGAGCCCCAGTGCCCGGCCTGGTCCTGCTTAAAAGGTGCTTTTATAATCATCTGTAAAGCTCTAACAGATGCTCGTGAATGCAGGTTTCTGACAACTTTGGAGACTGTCACATCAGAATAGAAAGGAAAGAAGTTTGGGATTTTTGAAAAGCCAAAATGTTCATTAATATCAAGTAGGACGGAAATGAACGGAATGGACCCAACTAATAGGAGACTGGGGTGATCTTTTTCACATTTTAAGTCTTCTTAATTTATGGCAATAAAGTTATTTGCATAAGTGCAGTAACAATCTGCTTTCTGACCAGGCTGGGTGGCTCACGCCTGTGATCTCAGCACTTTGGGAGGCCCAGGTGGGTGGACTGCCTGAGGTCAGCTGTTCGAGACCAGCCTGGCCGAGATGTTGAAACCCCGTCTCTACCAAAAATACAAGAACTAGCTGGTCATGGTGGCGTGAGTCTCTAATCCCAGCTACTCGGGAGGCAGGAGAATCACTTGAACCTGGGAGGTAGAGGTTGCACTGAGGCAAGATCACGCCATTTCACTCCAGCCTGGACAGAAATGTGACACTCCGTCTCAAAAAGAAAAACAAAAAATAAAATCTGTTTTCTTTAGTAAGAGGACACAACGGGAAATCCCAGCACTTTGGGAGGCCGAGGCGGGCGGATCACAAGGTCAAGAGATCGAGACCATCCTGACCAACATGGTGAAACCCTATATCCACTAAAAATACAAAAAAATTAGCTGGGCCTCGTGGCAGGCGCCTGTAGTGCCAGCTACTGGGAAGGGTGAGGCAGGAGAAGCGCTTGAACTCGGGAGGCGGAAGTTGCAGTGAGCTGAGACTGTGCCACTGTGCTCCAGCCTGGGCGACAGAGCAAGACTCCGACTCAAAAAAAAAAAAAGAAAAGAAAATCCAACTTGACTTATGGAGCCAATAAAACTGTTGGAAACTGGCCTCATCTTCTGTGTACACAGTCGCTGTACAGAGTCCCTGATCTGCGCTGAGACTGTCACTTTCTCACCACCCAGGAACCCCAAATTATCCTGAAACATCAAGAGGAAGGGAATTAGCCCAACTCATAGGTATTTAATAGTGCAAACCCATGGTGGGCTCAGCTTTAAAAAGGTCCTATCTGGGGCCGGTTGCAGTGGCTCACACCTGTAATCCCAGCACTTTGGGAGGCCAAGGCAGGCAGAGCACCGGAGGTCAGGAGTTCGAGACCAGCATCGCCAACATGGTGAAACCCTGTGTCTCCTAAAGATAGAATAAAGTAGCCGGGTACAGTAGTGTGAGCTTGTAATCCAAGCTATTCACGAGGCTGAGGCAGGAGAATTGCTTGAACGGGGAGGAGGAGGGGTTGGGAGATGGGGGTGTGGAGGTTGCAGTGAGCCAAGATCGCACAATTGCACGCCAGCCTGGTGAAAGAGAGTCCGTCTCAAAATAAATAAATACAAAAAAAAGTAAAACTTATTCTTGCTACAGTGAATATAAATAATTAGGCCAAGTATCAGCCTTGGCCACGTGGGGTGGCTCAGGCCTGTAATCCCAGCACTGAGAGGCAGAGTCAGGCGGATCACCTGAGGTTGGGAGTTCGAGACCAGACTAACCAAATTGGAGAAACCGCCGTCTCTCCAAAAAATACAAAGTTAGCCAGGTGTAGTGATGCACACCTGTAATAGCAGCTACTCGGGAGGCTGAGGAGGAGAACTACTTGAACCCGGGAGGTGGAGGTTGCAGTGAGCCGAGATTGCACCACTGCACTCCAGCCCGGGCAACAAGAACAAAACTCCGTGTCTAAATAAATAAATAAAGTGAATAAAATAAAAACAAAGCAAAGCAGTCTTACCATAATTATTCTTTCAATAAAACTGACAAAACTGGAAAAAGGAAAATTATGTTTCAAAGCCTGTCGTCACACCTGCTGTTAGATTCTGGTCTTGCCTAGCGGTTTTTGGTTATTATTTGAATTAAATTCTGTAACTTCTGGCTACAAGCCTTCAAAGTAATGTTTTCAGGTTTTTTTCCTTTTTCTTTTTGGCATTTGTTCTAACTGAAAACCACTGAAACCTAAGCTGTACTTTCTCATAGCTCTATGAATGAAAAACTAGATGTTTCAACGGGGGATGGCTGGAAGCCCTCCAAAATAAGCACGGCTATCGGGAACAAACCAGTCTTCTCCCCTCCAGTGCTCTCCGCCATGTGATTAGGCTTCCAGAAGAAGCAGACACCCACTGCCTAGGCGCCTAGCACCCACAATCAAATCTCCCCCACCCAGAGTTCCAAAAAACACTTCCCACAGGCCACCTGCAAAGCCAACCTTCAGCCACTAGGACCCACTCCATCCCTAGAAGACTGAAGTACCTCTTCTCTCCCACATCCGTAGGAGTCCTGGGTCACTCTGTCCCCTCCCCTCATCCCTAGGGGTCCCGGGTCACTCCCCTGCCCCAACCCTATAGGTCCTGGGTCGCTCTCACCCCCTATCCCTTTGGTTTCCAAGTCAGTCTCCGCTCCCCCACCCCTACAGGTCCAGGGTCGCTCGCCCCTCCCTCATCCCCAGGGGTCCCGGATCTCTCTCCTCCCCCATCCCTAAGGGTACGGGGTCACTCTCACCTACTATCCCTAGGGGTCCCTGGTCGGTCTCCCCTCCCCCATCCCAAAGGGTCCCGGGTTATTCTCCCCTCCCCCATCCCTAGGAGTCCCAGGTCACTCTATCCTCGTCCATCCATAGGGGTTCCGGTCACTGTCCCCTCCTCCAACCCTAGGGGTCCCGGGTCACTCTCCCCTCCCCCATCCCTAGGGGTCCCGGGTCGCTCTCCCCTCCCCCATTCCTAGGGGTCCTGAGTCGCTGGGCCCAGCTGGTTCGGCCCCTCAGTCCCCAGCGCCCCGCCCCGCCCAGGCCCAGGCCGCACCGCGTTGCTGAGGACCTCCTGGCAGCGTAGAGAGGCGCTGGCCAGCACCACGCGTTTGTGTAGCAGATTCCCGATAACCGGGAACAGCACCTTGGCGTCCACGCCGGGAGCCGGGAGGTAGCTGACTTGAGCCTGGAGCCTGCGGCTTGAGCATCACGGCTCCGGAAATTCCGCGGCCGGAGTTCCGTCTCCGCGAGGCCACGCCCAGACCACGCCTCCATCTAACTCCCGCGAGGTCACGCCCAAGCCCCGCCGCCCTCGACCTCGCCTCTAGGCCACGCCCAGAGCAGCCTCCTTCGACCTCTCGCGACGTATCGCCCAAGCCCCGTCGCCGTCGACCTCCCGTGAGACCACGCCAGACCACGCCTCCATCGGCCTCCCGCGAGGCCAGGCTTAGACCACGCCTAGACCACGCCTCCACTGAAATACTGCGAGGCCACGCCCAGAACAGGCCCCATCGACTTCCCGCGAAGCCACGCCCAAACCACTCCTCCATGGACCTCCCGCGAGGCCACGCCCTGACCATGCCTCCATCAACCTCCCGCGAGGTCACGCCCAAGCCACGCCTCCATTCTCTTCACCTCGAGGCCACGCCCAGGTCACGCAACCCCGCCCCCAGCATCGCTTTCCGTGCCCTTTCCCCGCCCCTGGCGCTCGTCCCGCCCGCTCAGTGGAGACTGACACTCAGTCTGGACGAGCAGTTTTCGGGGGGGTCCCTTGGGAGGAAAGGCGGGAGTGGATATTTGTGGTTTCTTGAGAGCGCCACGTGGATCATGGAAATGCTGGGGTTCCTGTGGCTGGCGTACTGGGCAGCTGTGGGGCTGGGGGTTTCTTATCCGCACAGAGGGGCCGGTCTCTGACATGGGGGCCTTGTTGGTACCACGTCTGAGAATGTGGAAGAAATGGGGGTTCCCTGACAGCCAGGGGCCAGTGTCCTGCAGTTGGGGGCCCCCTCTAAGCCAGGTGCGAGTGGCGTGGATTTGGGGGTCCCGGGTTACTCTCCCCTCTCCCGTCCTTAGGGGGCTCCGGTTACTCTCCCACCCCCATCCCTCTGGGGTCCTGGGTCACTCTCCCCTTCCCCATCCAGGTGGGAGAGGCGCAGAGATGGGGAGTCCCCGCGGGCATGGTGGGAGGGGCGTGGAGAAGGGGGGGTCCCCTCGGGCCAGGTGGGAGGGGCGTGGAGATGGGGGTCCCCGCGGGCATGGTGGGAGGGGCGTGGAGAAGGGGGTCCACTCGGGCCAGGTGGGAGGGGCGTGGAGAAGGGCGTCCCTCGGGCCAGGTGGGAAGGTCGTGGAGATGGGGGTTCCCTCGGGCCAGGTGGGAGGGGCGTGGAGATGGGGGTCCCCGCAGGCATGGAGGGAGGGGCGTGGATATGGGGGTCCCCTCATGCCAGGTGGGAGGGGCGTGGATGTGGGGGTTCCCTCGGGACATATGGGAGGGGCGTGGAGAAAGGGGTCCCCGCGGCCATGGTGGGAGGGGTGTGGAGAAGGGGGTCCCCTCGGGGCGTGGTGATGGGAGCAGCCTGGGGACTCTCTGTGGGCGCAGGGTGGGCGCTGTGAGGTCTGGGGCACCTTGGTGTCGGCTGTGCCTTCACCCCCTAAACGGACCCCACCTTCAGGTCGCCAGGTCCCTGGCGCGCTGCAGGCTGCAGGGGGCGCCCGTGAGCTGTTCGAGGAGGTTTTTTTCTTAAACCCCAGGAAGTTTCACACCCACCTGCTGGGTGCACACCCAGTGTGCTGTGGAGACTCGGGTACCGTTTCCCAGCCTGTGTGACGCAAAAGATTGTGAAATAAAATGTTAGAAATAATCATGTGGGCATTACGGTCCAAGGTAATAGTAATAATAATAATAATGTACCCAGATCATATTGCAGTCACGTCTATCCACAGAAAATAATTATACAGTTAATTTTGTTAACTGCGAAAATCCCACCATGTCCAGCACATTCTGGGGAAAACGAAGAACCGTATTGACAGAAGTCACAGAAGAATCGGATCGATGGGAGAAAAGAAAAACATGGAAACCGTGTGACGTGTCTTTTTAAATATGGTTTTTGAGAAACAATTTTTTTTAAACAGCGGCAAATAGATTGTGATTTCAGATTTTTGCAGGAGTAAGTGTCTTCATTTTGAAGCAATAGAAGGAACCACAGCTTCACAGACCGTGGTGCATATAAGATAAACTCCGTGTAGGCGAGTTTTGTTTCTTTCCTTGTTTTCTAATTATTTATTTTATTATGTATTTATTTTGAGATGGAGTCTCCCTGTGTTGCAGTGGCCTGATCTCAGCTCACTGCAACCTCTGCCTCCCGGGTTCAAGCGAGTCTCCTGCCTCAGCTTCCCTGAGTAGCTGGGAGCATGGTGGTGCATACCGCATATCCCAGCTACTCGGGAGGCTGAGGCAGGAGAATTGCCTGAACCCGGGAGGTGGAGGTTGTGGTGGGCCGAGATCGCGCCATTGCACTCCAGCCTGGGTAACAAGAGTGAAACTCCGTCTCAAAAAAAAAAAATATATATATATATATACACCTTAATATATTGCACTATATTTGTATATATTTCATTACATATACATTATATATAATCCATTATAAATATGCATTATATATTCCATTATGTTATATATATTCCATTATATATACACCTGATATATATTCCATTATATATATATCTTATATTTGATTATATATTCCATTATAAATATGCATTATTTATTCCATTATATATATGTATATAATGAATATATACACCTTATATATCCTATTATATATATACATTATGTATATTCCATTAAAATATGCCTATATTCCATCATATATGTTATATATATTCCGTTATATATACCCCTTATATATATTTCATTATATATACATTATTATATTACATTATAAATATGCATTATGTATTCCATTATATGTTATATATTTCATTATATATACACCTTACATGTATTTCAATATATATATACATTATATATATTCAATTATATATGCCTTATATGTTCCATTACAAATATGCATTATATATTTCATTATATATAAATATATGTAATTTGTATATATTCTATTATATATATACCTTATATATGTTCCATTATACATTATATATATTCCATCGTAAATATGCATTATATTCTCATATATATGCATTATATATACCATTTTTAATATACACATATACATAAATACATATCTAATATATAAATATATAATGTATACATATAAATATATATATCTTCCATATGTATATATAGTAGCCAATTAGTAATTATATATAGATACATTTAAAAAGGAAGTATATACATATATAAAGAAGTTTTATTTATATATATTTATGTATCTATATATAAAGGACTTAATGACTAACTGACACAGTCACAAGGTCCCACCATAGGCCATCTGCAGGCTGAGGGGCAAGGAGAGCCAGTCCGCGTCCCCACAGTGAAGAACTTGCAGTTCAGTATTTAAGAGCAGGAAGCGTCCAGCACGGGAGAAAGGTGGAGGCTGCGAGGAGAGGCCAGGCCCTGTTTTACATTTCTCTGCCTGCTTTATACTCCAGCCGTGCCCCCGCGCCCAGCCAGAACTGGAGCATTTGGAAGGTGTAAGTGGACGTGGTGTCTGCCCTCAGGCCCCCTTCTCCCATTAGACGCAGGTCTCGCAGCCTCAGCAATGCTGACGTTTGGGGCTGGAGGCTTCTTTGCTGTGGGCCACCCTGGGTGCTAGAGGGTACTGAGCATCATTTGTGGGCTCCACCCACCAGGTGCTAGGAGCATCCCCCACGCCCCCGCATAGTAGAGGGGGGGTTTCACCATGTAGACCAGGATGGTCTCGATCCCTTGACCTCGTGATCCACCTGCCTCGGCCTCCCAAAGTGCTGGGATTACAGGCTTGAGCCACCACGCCCGGCCCTATTTTCATTTTCTGTTACTGTCTACCGTGATTTTTTGTGGATGTATTTATTTATTTCTTTATTTTTGAGACAGAGTTTCGCTCTTGTTACCCAGGCTGGAGAGCACTGTCATGATATCGGCTCACCGCGACCTCCGCCTCCTGGGTTCAGGCAATTCTCCTGCCTCAGCCTCCCGAGTAGCTGGGATTACAGGCACGTGCCACCTTGTCCAGCTAATTTTTTTGTACTTTTACTAGAGACGAGGTTTCACCATGTTAACCAGGATGGTCTCGATCTTTTGACCTGGTGATTTACCCGCCTCGGCCTCCCAAAGTGCTGGGATTACAGGCTTTAGTCACCACACCCGGCCCAGATGTATTTATTTTTTATTCCTTTTTTTTTTTTTTTTTTTTTGAGACGGAGTTTCGCTCTTGTTACTCAGGCTGGAGTGCAATCTTGGCTCACTGCAACCTCCGCCTCCTGGGTTCAGGCAATTCTCCTGCCTCAGCCCCCTGAGTAGCTGGAATTACAGGCACGCACCACCATGCCCAGCTAATTTTTTGTATTTTTAGTAGAGACGGGGTTTCACCACGTTGACCAGGATGGTCTCGATCTCTTGACCTCAAGATCCATCTGCCTCGGCCTCCCAAAGTGCTGGGATGACAGGCTTGACCCACCACGCCCGGCCCTTTTTTCTTATATACATATAAAACTAACTACTTAGAGGTGAGGGATTGCTTTTAGATAACTGTTTTCTACTATAATTCTAGAAAAAGTACATGATAATCTTAAAATATTAATAGAACTTAAGTAGGAATCAAAAGTCTTGCTGGTTTCTTTAAAATAAATAGAAACAGTAAATGGAGGACAAAACCTAATATTAAGCATAAAAGTGAAACATTAAGAGAACAGAATACAAATAAGTGGCTTTTTTCCTTCATATGTTTTTCAAGATAGAACATTAAGCCGCGCACCAAAAGATAAAAAATATATTTGGTGATTGATAATTCAAGTAATATCAAGAATACTGGAAATTGTAATTCTTCTGGTGGCAAAGCATATTCACTGTGAGTCTGCCAAGAGTTCTCAATCAGTAAAATCTGCAAAAGTAGATCTAAATACGGCCGAAGTTCATAGGTATATGAATATGCAACCTACAAATAGTTCAAAGATAGTGAATTACTCATTTAAAAAATGAATAAAATAACAGATAACAGATACATCAATGTTTATTTTTCTTTGACCTGCCAGAGAAGTTCATTGAGGACAGTAGATGAGAACTGAGGATTCTCTCCAGAGCAAAAGCAAAGCAAGTTGATGGTATCCTCTGAGTTACTGCAGTCTTCAATAATTTTCTTCATATAACTTGTTCTTACAAATAAAATGTCTGCCACATTCTGCTGAACTGGCATTATAGGCTGTGATAAATTGGGGTCCCTGAAAGGATTGGGGAGAGGA